TCGGAACGCAAAGCAATTCGATCCGCAAATAAAAATAAAAAGGGAGCCTTCAAAATTTTCAAAAAGTTTTCGACCCAATTAAAAAGTCAGCAAAACTATCAAAATTCAAGGAAAAATGACGAAAACAAAAATTATGCAAAGTAAGAAAATTTCGGATTTATTCGAAAGGAAATGAATTCAAATGTGGCAGCACTGGAGTGTGAAATAAGACTGCCACAAATAAAAATGTGCGAAAACTATTACTTTTTATTGCTTTCTACGATAATTCGGTGAAAGTTTTTGCGAAGTTCCTCGCTGGAAGAAAAAAAAAAGCGAAGCCTCTTGCTATTTAACTTAAGGCTGACTCATTTTTGCAAATTTATGAATATTTCTGTTTTTTTTAAAGAACATCTACCAATGACGCTAACCTTCATTATTTTGATGAATTTCATCATCACTTTTTCGCGAGTTCTTTGCTCATTTGACTCTAAAACAAGCGTTCTTACCCAGTAGGAGACCTGGAATTAACTTTTATAAAGAGATAATACAGCTTTTGAAGCTTATCCTTTGAATTTGCACAATTAAAACCTCAATTCTGCGTAGATTTATCCGTCTCAGGAAAGCAGTGAATAAGACAGAGATTTCATGTAACGCACCTTGTTAAAATGTTCCGTGAAACGACAGAGATTTGGGCTTTTCTTCTCATTTTGTTCTTGCGCCCACCAAAGCATTTCGGCCGGCTAGAAATAAAAATTTAAAAATGCTCGACACTTTTCTTCACCGACCCATCGTACAGCTTCTTAATCATATATTGACGCCTATGGAGATTTTTGACGGCTTGCACATCCAATTCTGGTATGTGATAACAAAAACATTCGAAAAGAAAACTCGGAGAGCATCGAAATGACTGTTTCGCTATCCGCAACAAAATGCAGATTTTAAGAATTGGAAAAATATGTGAGGGAAGCTTATTTTGCCTAGACTACAAAGGGAGTTTGGCCGTGTATGAATTTGAGTACAACAATCTGCTTTTTGTCAAGATGAGACTTTTTAACAGAATCCTTAAAGTATAAAAGATGCTGCGAATACACACCACATTAGAAAAAAAGCATTTCAGATAGCTTGATAGAGCTTTCGCTTTACCGCCAAAAAACCGAAAACAAATGCAGCATTAAAAATATTAACCTCAATCAAATGAAATAATTCCGCATCCAGATAAGTCATCTGTTTTGCGATAAGTACAGAACGGAAGTCGAAAATCGTAAAATTCCTGAAAAACAGATCTTTTTCTATAATAATAAGACATCGACTGTGAATGAAAAATTGCTGTGCGGAACAAATTTATCAGTTGCCGGTGCTTAATTATGAGACAGCCCTTGATGCTACTATTATGCGTCACTAACCTCCGTTCGAAACCAGGTTCCGTATGATTTTGTGATTCTTCACGATAGCACTCGGCGCTGATCTTCCTAGATCTTCCTAAGGGCTTGATCGAACTTTAGGATTGCTCACCTAACAATTCTGGGAAAACTGAGTCATTAATTGTTTCTGAGGCGTTAAAATGCGATGGGAGTATTTGAGAGACGAAAAGAGCTTAAAGTATTGATTACATCTAACAGTCGGTCCACCTTAATGGGGTCCCGAGTAAATCAAATGAGCGGCACGAGTAATCAACTCCGCCTGTGTTTTATGAATATGCGAACATGCGTATACGTCTATCCGAACAGTTTCCGCACTTAAGCAGAATATTAAGCTAAATTTCACAGATCTAATACAATTCTTCACCTCTCCCCAGAATCACTCTTTGAATCGCCCTAAGTGAGTTTATGTCCACATGCTAAAGTAACGAGGCAAATTATTTTTAATTTTTTTCGGTTGCTACAACGGTTCCACTGGTTCAAAAGATTTCATCAGGCGGAACATGTTCGGTACTGATCCAGTCATCCACTCTACGCGCAAGCGACTAATCACAATAACTCAGCACATTCATTCCCTTGCTATTCAGGATAATGGATATCTCAAAAGTCCCCTACTCGTCCCTCAATAATCATCAGCAATTAAAACGCCGAGCAAGTGAAAATCACACAAAAAGTGACTTCAGTGAGCACACTACCTTGAGCTTTTCGAAGCTGTTCGATTCACTACTGCTTTTCGTTTTAGCGTTGACTTGAGGTCCATCCGTGCCATTAGTCTTGATCTGAAAACATGCTCTCCAAGTGGACAAGAAGGAAGCGCTTCCAAAGCTGCCTATGACTGTCGCTCTCTGTTGTAAATATGACTCAAATCACTGCATGTGAAACTACATCCAGTGCCTTTGACTGTCACGTTTGTACTCCGAGACTATAGATGAAGTAAGCCTATTTGATTAGGTACAGGCAATCTAACATTTTTGATTTTTTTCTTGCCCGGAAATCACGAGAAAAGGTTGTACAGGATGGCATGAACCATACATCTTTATCAATATACATTCAAAATTATGCTCAAATAATTAGCAACAGGTTTTGCTAGGTCGTGAATTTTTATTCGCCACAGGGGATAAAAATGCTCCGTGTCTCTAGCACCAACCGCATTTCGTCTTGCTTCCTTTAGTACATACAAAAAGTTCGAGAGAAATTTGACGCAAATATAAATGAAGAGACGGTTTTATAAAATTGCATAGTTCTATTATACAAACTGAATGTTGCAAACCTGAGAATCTTCGCGAACTTTAATTTATCTTCACTTATAAGACGGCTTATGAATTTCGCTATTAATCGAATAAGCTTTCGGGTCTGCTCCACGGCACATAATTCGTCGACTACTCGTGCTAGCATCGAGAACGTCTGATTCGCTACTTTCACTGATTGTCGCTCCTTTCCTGCACACATGTACGAATATCTACAAATCTTTGTAAATCAACTGACATTTAAATCTCCGCGATGTCCAGTACAGTGTCAAAGTTATGAGCTCAAGTCAATTACAGTCTTTGATGTGTACTGAGGCCCTTAGATTATTTCACGGGATAATTCACTTTTTATGTGTTTTTTGTAGCTGTGCAATGCAAAAAACGCATATTGACGAGGGGTTGTCTGTGTGTCCGTGTGTCTGTGCGCCTGTGTGTCTGTGTTTGCGTCTGTCACGCACTTTCATCTTAAGACCTATAAAAGCTGTGGGAACTTAATCTACATGCACGTGCCGGCTCCAATCCCCAAAATGGGCGCCAACACCCGCATGGTACCCGCGCACGGGCCCGCCAAAATTTTTTTTTGGTTAAGTTCATAACTCGGGGACCTGAGAAGCTAGAACGCTGGAATCTTAGGGCGATGTTCCCCGTCCAAGTAGGTATTAACGAGTTCAAACCCTGCCCGCGGGTAAGCGTGGTACCTACATACGGGCCCTTGAAAGCTTCTTCCGGGTAAGTTGCTACTAGAATTTTGAGGGATGTTTCCTGACAGCCCTGGTAGCCAGTCTGAAATTCTTTTAGCTAGAAGCATCTGCCAGAAAAACCAGTGCCGTTAGCGATAAAAATCTGTGGGGAGCTATGCAAAAAACGCATCTTCGCAAAGGTAGCCCGTGCGTTGGCCAATTATTTTAGACCTTTCCCCACAATCACTGCAAAAACATCGGGTACGGAAGGAAGAGGAGAGAGGAACTGTAATGCTCATTTAGCATTAGATTATGGTAGTTTATAATAGCTAATTTAAATAACAGTAAAATCATAACAACTAATCTAATGATCTACGATGAAAGTAACGGACGCAATAAGAAACAGAAAAAAAAAGAAGCCCTAAAATCTTTCGGTCGCGCACATTCCAAATCAGTACCGCAGCTGGATCTCATCAGTAGTATATCGAAAGCAACGAGTAAATACGTGTTACAGTATTCTAAGTTGTTGTGCGTCAAACCAGCTGCGGTTAAAAGACCTGCGTAACTGACGCCGAACAGCGCTAATTTTTGGATTTTATCAGCTGATTCTAAAACCATTTCTGACACCATCCTCACCTCTTAATCAATTTCTGAACAAGTTCGTACGATGTAACAAAGCTACGATAAGTTGCTAGGAATGCTTCCTGATAAAGAAGTGATCCTGACGGCTGTGTTGCGAATGCAATAAGCGCATCTTTTGGTCCGCCACGAACCTGAAATAAAAAAGTGCAGTCATTAGAGGCATTTTTTGCAGTCAAAATGAAATGCAGAAAAACTTCTCCTTACTTCATGCTTTTCCGAACAGCTCTGGATAGAGCGCCGTATGGTAGGGCTATGACACGTTCTGAAGAGAAGCGACATCTGTGTAGTTCCGTAACGCGCTGAATTCTTCTGGCCTCATACAAAATTAACAATGAAAGGAGG